TGCCCATCTCCTTTCTTTCTCTGTATGTTTCTGTCCTTTGCAATGCCCATCTCCTTTCTTTCTCTGTATGTTTTAGCTCCTCAGAAGACTGATGTATGTTGTTTGTCTTCATGTTGTCATTCCCAGCCAGTCTTCAACTCAGTGCAGTCAGGCTTCACTCAGTCTTAGTCAGGATTCTCTAGAAAAAACAGAACCAATGATACATATACGTATGGATAGACAGAGAGAGAGATGAATCCATGCATCTATGGTGGTGAAGGGGCCTGTTAAGTCCAGACTCTGTAGTCAGGCAATAGGCTAGAGACTCCTGCATTCTTCTGCCCCCACATCACATAGGTTAGGGGATGGGAAGAATAAAGAGTAGAAAAGTTCTGGAACTATGTCTCTTTGTAGTGTGGAGGCAGAATACATGTAGGGGAAGTCCTATTTTGCTTTTCATGTCTTCAGGACATTATAGAGGATTACTTGCTTTGTTTAAGGTCAACTGATATAATCTAATGTAACAGCTTCATGACAGTGTCTAGACTTTGGCCAAACAGTTGGGCACCCTAACCTAGACAAGTTGACAACCATCCCACGCTTCTAAACCTGTTCTCACAAAGCTCTGCCATCATCTTGGACCATCAATTTAGTAGACACTTAATATACCAAGTAAACCTTTCTATACCAAGTGACTCTGAACTTACCTTGAATTGCATAATACCACTTTTAATTTTTCTTCTCTCACCGTAGCTTTCCAGTCTCTGTTGTGTGTTCTTTTTTATCCCTCCATTTCTGTAGTTCACTCTAATGCTGGACATCAGCTTGTGGTGTGTTGATGACACATTAATCTATATCTCGAGCACAGTCTTACTCCTTAGCTCCAAACCTACTTATCAGGTATCCAACTGGAAATATAAAGAGAGAAGAAGGTTGAAAGTTGGACCGTTTTCTATCCAAATGTTCTCTTTCTCCTGTATTTCCAGAGTTACACTTAACATCTTTTGTATATTTTCTTTCCTTCCTCATTGTTTCAGTTCACATCTTCATCCTTTAAAGTTTTGCTGAAGTTTCCGGTTTGTACAATCCATATCTAAAATAGGCTGACAGGTTTTCTGAAGTAAAAATACATTAATTCGTTTGCATATAGTGGCGTCTCATTAAAGGGTGAAGAAAGTCCTGACAACTTCACTTCTGAAAACACAGGTGTGCCTATCATGTGCCCTGCCTTGTCACCTCTGTCTGATTTTTGATGTTCAGTTCATTTACCGTCCTGTATCTAAGTTACAAGGAGCTCTGGTAGCCTAGTGGATTCGGAGTTGGGCTGCTCACCACAGGTCCACAGTTTTCATTTGCCTGTCACTCTTGGAGAGGAAGATGAGGCTTTCTGCTCCCAATAAAGCTTTACAGCCTCTGACACCCTACACAGGGTAGCAGTGAGTCTGAACCAACTCATTGGCACACAACTACTGCTACTACCTTCCTCATTACACATTGACTGCTTTGGGGATGCTGTCTCTTTCACCCTTGTATCCTCAGAGTCTGTCCTTGGAGTCCTGGTGTGGCCCTGTGGGTTAATACGCTGGACTGCAAAGTCGGTTTGAACCACAAGATCAGTGGTTCAAGCTCACCAGCCACTCCTCAGAAACCCTATACAGGGCTCCTATGAGTCAAAACCGACTCAACGGCGCTTAATAACAACAGCAACATCCTCAGACAAGAGTGTGGCAAGTATTTGTTGAATGAAATTGCGTGGGTCAATTAGAGTCACGTTTGGTGACAATCTGGTATTGAATGTGCTTTGTTTATGTTTGCCATGTAGATCAAAGTTACTTGATTTTTATCATTTGTTTTTAATGGTTGACCAGGTGGTTTTATTTTCTCATCTCTGATTGACTAGGGGAGCCACAGACGTTCGCACTAAAATTCAAGAGAGCTGAAGACTACCCTATTGACCTCTACTACCTTATGGACCTCTCTTACTCCATGAAAGACGATTTGGAGAATGTGAAAAGTCTTGGAACAGATCTGATGAACGAGATGAAGAGGATTACTTCAGACTTCAGAATTGGTAGGAATGTTAATAATTAACAAAAGTTGATAACTCGCATTTGTTTGGTGGTGGTGGTTGTTATGTGCCGTGGAATCAGATTAGACTCATAGTGACCCTGCATAGGGTTTCTGAGGCTATAACTCTGTACGGGAACAGAAAGCCTCATCTTTCTCTTGAGGAACAGCTAGTAGTTTCGAACTGCTGACCTTGAGGTTAGCTGCCCTACTTGTAACCAGTCTACGCTACCAGAGAGTTCTCAGAACCTTTTTGTATTTTAACCTTGTTCTTCACAACATACTTACAAGGTAAATAGGTTAGTATTTAGCATTTCCTTTGAGAAGAAATTGCTGTTTCTGTCACACAGCTTGTAATCTTTCTGCCTTCTGTCTGTTGTTTCTTCTCTCATACAGTCTTACTTAAGTTATACCATATCGATAATGAAATGCATGCTTGTTTTCATGGGAATTCATGGATGTGTTTGTTCATTTATTTTACAAACATCTGCTGAGCACTGCCACTCTATTTCTCTACTAATTGAATGAGCACCTTGCATGTGCAGCCGGACCTCACTTTAGACCTAGACCCCCACTTTCTAGTGACCGCCTTTTCAAACCCTCTTTTCCGCATTCCTCACACCTTTAACTTGTTTTCTGGTTTTTCCACTCCTGGGTTAGAGGTGGTGGTGGTGTGCTGTGGAATCAGAACTGACTCATAGCTGAGTCTGTAAATCTTTACAGGAGCAGAAAGCCTCATCTATCTCCTGCGGAACAGTGGGTAGTTTCAAACTGCTGACCCTGAGGTTAACAGTCCGACTCATAACCACAACGCTACCTGGGCTCGTAGAGGTTTAAAAAGAGAATATTGGAAAAACTTGAGTATTTTTGAAGACCAAAGATTGCACTACAAAAAAAACCTCATGTCAGCGGGAACATTTGTTGTTGTTGTTAAGTACCATTGGGTCTGTTCCGACTCATAGCAACTGAGACAGTACATCTTGTCGGGAGCTGAAAGCCTCATTTTTCGCCCATGGAGAACATTAGCAAATAGAATCTCACCTGTCTAAAATGCTTTTTATTCTGTAAGCTCAATGAAAGGTAGGAGGCTTTTTCGCAGCTAAATCTTTTGAAGTGGTCAGGATTCCAGAATATACCTTTATTTATTTGTCGGTTTTTTTAGTATGGTAGGAAATGAAATGTGAGTTAAAGTAGCTAGGAAAAGTAGAAAACTGACTTACATGTAGCAAATTTGATATTTTTTCAGCTGTGACTTTATGTTGTTGTTGTTAAGTGCCGTCGAGTTGATCACGACCCATAGCGACCTTGTATAGGGTTTCCAAGGAGCAGCTGGTGAGCTGAACCATCGACCTTGCAGTTCAAATGACTTTGCAGTCTGATGCATTAACCCATGGTGTCACACCGTGACTTTATATATGTGCATCTAAATACGTGCATTGCTCCTTCACAGGGTTTGGCTCATTCGTGGAGAAAACTGTGATGCCTTACATTAGCACAACACCGGCCAAGCTAAGGAACCCTTGCACAAGTGAACAGAACTGCACCAGCCCATTCAGCTACAAAAATGTGCTTAGTCTTACCGACAAAGGGGAGGTTTTCAACGAACTGGTCGGTAAACAGCGCATATCTGGAAATTTGGATTCTCCAGAAGGTGGCTTTGATGCAATCATGCAGGTGGCAGTGTGTGGAGTAAGTGCATTCACTTCCTTAGAAGGTATCTTGTTTGCATGACTCTGAAGGGAGAATCATCAGCTGACTTTCAGAAATAGTGTACTAGGATTTCCTTCTTGGTCAGTCTTAGTTGTGAAGCCCCACTGAAACCTGTTAGCATCGTAGCAGTACACACAGGCAGGCAGTGACAGTGCATGGGGTATATTGGCATAGGTCTTCCGCGTGCAAGGTGAGAGAGAATTCTACCCTGAAGCGCCACTGTGGACTCTGTTGTGTTGCCGTGAGTCTGGGGCCAACCATATAGCAACTAACAGTAGCAAGAGAGGGAGCGGGATGACTTTAGTAATCCTATCTGACTTGATTATCCCAGTGATATTACCAATTCCCTCCCTTAAATTTCCTACAACGACAGCAACTTTACAAAAGTCAAACCAGGCACTTAATTCATTTACACAGGGGCCTAATGTTTTATTATTTCACACAGTGGAATGGATAACTTGGTGTCCTAACTTTCTGGACTTTGTGTCCTCTGAGATATCACTAGAAACTGGAAAAGTCTTCAAATGGAATAGTGGCTTGGATACCATATTTTGGTCATTTTTACTTGCTCATAGTCTTTGAAAAGGAGATAAAGCTTCCTCTTGTCTCTTAGGAACACAAAAGGAAAGAACCTTCAAATCCTAGTATTTAAGCTATCCGAGAACTTGCATTTTGAGGAGTTGCGTATTTACAGTTTTGATCGCAGGTTCTCCAGGAGTAACCAGCAGAGCTATACTGGACTAGCTATTAGCGTTTTGTCGTCCACTTTACCAGCTAAGGGGTTTGAGGTGGATATTTAATGATATAGCTGAGACTGACATGAAAAACATGATTAAGATAAGATTTATCTTTATTTTCTCCTAATCCAGCACCCCAGGCCCCCCCGCCTTTTTTCCTTATGCTACACCTGTTCCCTAGAGGACTCTCCTTGATTCCAGATGTCTCTTAAGGGCTATTAGCTGATTGTCATCAGGACCCTAACTGATGTCTACAATAATAGGTGAATCATATGGCTAGTGGTTATGTGAACAGTCATCAGACCGTGACCATGTGAATTCAGATCCTCCACTGATAGTAGGCATTTTACCTCATCTCTCCAGACTGACTCTTCCACTGAAGGGATGTCCTCTTATAGTTATTGTGGAGTCTAAATGCAGTAATGCGTACAAAGTGCCAACAAACACTCAGCAGATATTGACTACTAACTATAGTATCATTGTACTCCTCCACAGGGTAGTTAAAATTTAAGGTTAGTCTCTGCTTTTCAATCTGAAGAAAGAGTAGTATCCAGGGAGTGCCTAACTTGACAAGTCTTTTTCACCCTCTTGGTATTCTTTGTGATCCTCTAGCAGCTCACTAATGAAATCGGCTCTTTGACTTAGCTGTAGCCTCACAGACAGCCATCACACACACTGTCATCCGTACCGCTCTTTTGTTGATTATGCTGAGTGGGTCTTCTACCTCCTCCTCTAAATGCAAAAAAAACCACTGTACTTTTGAAAGACTGTCCACATTAATAAGCCTGATTTCTGTCTTCAAAGAATGTATAGTCTTGTATGGATATAGATCGACCTATTTATCAGCTTTGTTATTGTTACTGTTAAGTGCTGTCAAGTTGGTTCTGACTCATAACGACCCTGTATAGGGGTTCCGAGCCAAACAACTGGTAGATAGCTTTGAACTGCTGACCTTTGTTGTTTGAAATCCAGTGCTGATCATACCACACCACACCAGGAGTCCCATTAAACAGATTTAGACAAATAAAATGACACAAGTAGAAGAGAGAGCAGGGGTTTTACTGGGACCTTAAATTCTTTATAAACTTAGAGGCTAAAAGTAAATGAATAATAAACCACACTGATGAGTTAGGATAGGGGGGATTTTTAAAGGAGAGCTGAGAGAAGTGGACAACCAGCTAAGATAACAGGTGTACAATGAGGAGCTTCATTCAGTAGGCGCTGTGCTTTTATCAGCAGGATAATACTAGAATTGTGGACAGAGAAGATAAAGTTGGAGCTGACGGTATTAGTCTAAAAGTACAAAGGTATCCTATAAGAAGCTTGAAAGATTTATGTTGAATTATTGTGAGTAGTTTTTAAAAATTGAAATCCTTTTCTTCCCAAGTCATTGATTGGCTGGAGGAATGTGACGCGGCTGCTGGTATTTTCCACGGATGCTGGATTCCACTTTGCTGGAGATGGGAAGCTTGGTGGGATTGTGTTACCAAATGACGGGCAATGTCACTTGGAGAATAATGTATACACAATGAGCCATTATTACGTAAGTGCTAAAGTCCTTACACGGGAGTAACTTACTGCTGAGTTTTAGAGTACTATAGGACTGGCTTGTGGGTTTTGTTATTTTAGTAAGTTTGGCCCTAACCCAGTGTGCAGGAAAACTGGTGTTGCTCGTTCTAAAGAGGTGGCCTCTGTGTGTACTTCCTTCCACTCAGACAGGGGCCTCACTGAGGGGAAGGTGCCGCCTCTGACAGCACTGTCACCATGGGCTTCATCGCCAGCTATATTCTCTCACCATTTGACCGAAAATTTGATATTGTCTCTAAGCAAATAATGTCCCTGGTCATACATTCTTTGTCTTATTTGTGTGACCTTTAAAAATAGGCACTCTGCCTTTATTGACCATACAGACTGGCAGAATAGCCAGTTCTAGAAGACATCCAAACCTTGGACTGTTTTTCAGGTGATAGAGACTACAACTTTTAATTACAGGCAGTTCTTTACTTTTATTAGTCTTGCATGTAATATGCATAAGTGATTTTATTTAAAAAAAAAAAATCTGTTGTGGGAATTTTCATAGAAACATAAAGAATCAGATGGGAGGATTTCAGTAGCCCACACTACACACTGCACTTAACATTGGATGAAGCTTTTTCATTTCAAACTAGTCTTGTACAAGCAATCCAGTTACATATGCCTATCAGTATTCTCAAAAAAGTAGTAAACACTGGAATGTACTGGAAGATGTACTTACATATTCAATTTCATTTAACTTCTTAGGATTATCCTTCTATTGCTCACCTTGTCCAGAAACTCAGTGAGAATAACATTCAGACGATTTTTGCAGTGACAGAAGAATTTCAGCCCGTTTACAAGGTAAATATGTGTGAGATAAATAGAGGAACATATTTCTAGACCTTTTTTGTGCAGTTATTAGAAGCAAAGTCATGTCTGATTGCTACCTGGTAGGCAGAGTAAATTTTACCAAGTTTCCTGTATAAATTTTTTTCCTCGATTTTGTTTTGTTGTCCTTTACACAGCAGAAAGCATTGTTGCAGCAGTTTGTTCATGTTCAGTGTAGTGGCATTGATCGTTCATGGAGCTCTGCAACCATCCTCAGACTCCTCTTCTAAGTCAGTCTTCCTTCGTTAGTGGAAACTCAGTGCCCCTTAATATTTCTGTCTAATCTTTTGTCAGTGTAAACCCATGTAAGTAGTTCTTAAAGGTGCATAATCAAGGTAGACATTTTTAACTAGTTAAATCTAAACTACTAGTCAGTTTTACAATAACTTCAGAGGGTATTTGTGGTTTAAGATTTTAAGATTGCCTCAGGACAGTAGTTGAGGGGTTCCTCTACCTTCCATGGTCCGAAAGTCTAGAGTTCATTAGAAGTTGAATTTCTGTTCTGAGTTTTCCACTTTTTGATTTTGTTCTGCATTTCTTCCACAAAAGAAATGTTTGATCAAAATGCTCAGAAATGGTAGCTGGGTAGCATCCAGTTCTGGTCTCATGACACAGAAGGCAGGTGTACATGGAGGCAGTTAATCACGTATTCCATACACCCTTCCCCTCTCCTTTTTCCTCATCTGTTCCAGGTAAATAGAAACCAATTATTGGGTCTTAGATGGCCACTCACAAGCTTCCAAGACCCCAGGCACTATACAATGAACTAGGAAGTAGAACAGAAGTCCTAAACATGATAGTAGACCAGTTATCTGGATGTCCCATGAAATTGACCCTAAACCTCCAAACCAAGTAACTAAATCCCAAGTAACTAAAGTGGTTTACATAAGCAGCCCCAGCAGCTATTCTGCCAACTTTTGCCAGTTCAGCTTTTTGCAAGTATACAGCTTACTGACATTAGCTATAGTAATCGGCTGTGCAGCCCTGCCCCTAACCTAATTCTTCCATCACCATCAGTCCTATCTCTCCTCCATCCTGCCCCGGTAACCAAATAATACACTTTAGTCTCTGTACATTTGCCTTTTCTTCTCTTTTATGTAAGTAAACCACAGCTATTGAGTTAATTCCAACTCATAGTGGCCCTCTCAGACAGAGTAGAATTCCAAAGGCTACCCAAAGGCTGTGAATCTGTACGGAAACAGACTACCTTATCTTCGTCCCACAGAGCGACTGATGGGTTCAAACTGCTGACCTTTCAATTGACAGTCCAGCCCTTAGCTCACTTTGCTCCCACTGTTTCTTTAGTGTAAGTAAGGTCATACAATATTTGTCCTTTGTGATTGGCGTTTTCACTCAGCATAAATCTTTAAGATCCATTCATATTGTTGTGTGTTTCCAGACTTCATTTCTCCTACTGGCTATGCTGTATTCTGTTGTATGTGTATACCACATTTTGTTATCCATTCATTTGTTAATAGACATTTGGATTGTTTCTACCTTTTGGCTATTGTGAATTGTGCTTCAGTGAACATCGGTGAACAAGTCTGGTATTTGAGACTTTGCTTTCCATTCTTTTGTGTATAAACCCAGCTATGAGTAATTTGGTGGGCCTTGGGCTAGTTCTTAAGGAGCCCTGGTAATGCTGTAGGTTAAGCATTGAACTGCTAACCTCAAGGTTGGTGGTTCACACTCACCAGCTGTTACATGGGGAAAACATGAAGTTGTATCATTCCATAAAGAATTAACAGTTTCAGAAACCCTAAAGAACACTCCTATTGTGTAATTTATAGGGTCATGATGAGCCAGTGACTTGACAGTGGATTTGGTTTTTGGTTTAGTGGTAGTTCTATTTTTATATTTTTGAGGAACCACCACATTGTTTTCAGCGATGGGAGTACCAATTTGTGTTCCTACTAGCAGTGGATAAGGGTTGTTCCACCGTGCCCGCATCCTCACCAACCTTTATTTCTTATTTTGGCCACCCTTATGGGAGTGAAATGGTATCTCATTGGGATTTTGATAGGCATCTCTGATGGTTAATGACGTTTAAGCACCTTTTCATATGTCTCATGGCCATCTGTATGCCCTCTTTGTTGAAATGTTTACCAAGTCCTTTGACAATTTTACGATTAGGTTATTGGTCATTTTGTTGTGAGGTGTCAAAGTTTATAGTGTTATTGTTATGTGCTGTGGAGTCGGTTTGACTCCTAGTGACCCTGTACAGGGTTTCCGAGATTGTAAATCTTTGTGGGAGCGGAATTTTTCTTCCACGGTATCTTTCTCCCTCGGAATAGCTGGTAGTTTCAAACTGCTGACCTTGCAGTTCGCAGCTCGATTTGTAACCACTACGCTACCATGGGTAAGTCAAAAAATATTGCTGCAAAACCATAGAAACTTTTTTATTAAAAAAATACCCAAAATGTGAAGATATTGTTTCTTGCTATTATAGTCTCAGTCTAGGTCTATGCTTCTGGAAACAGTGTTTCTATCTCTCTCTCTTTCCTGCTCTTGTCTTTATACCATGTCATAATGGCACTTTGGACATCCTTGTGGGATGCAAGTCGTGTTACTTTTCAATGTCCTTTCAGTAAAAAGAAGTCTGTAGGGTGGATGGGGTACAGTTGTCCAAAGAAATTCTCCTAGGAGAGCCCTTACTAACCTTAAGGAATGAAAACGTGCATTGTCGTAAAAGAAAAAAATTCCTTGGTATAACTTTTTTTCACCAATTTTTTTTTCAACAGTTTTCTTAAAACTTCTTCCTCATAAGCCCCTATGGTTGTCCTGTGTCCTTCGAGAAAATCTATCATTATTAGCCTTTTGGAGTCCCTAAAGGAGTTAACCATAACCTTCTGAGTTGACCTCTCTGCCTTGAAATTAACTGTCCCAGCAGATCCCCTTGAAAGCCACTGTTTTGTTTGGATCCTCTTTTTGAAGGCTTCCTACGTGTTCTGAGAGAACTTGGCTGTAGCTACTCACTGATCTCAGAGACATGTTTTAACACATTTAATTTGGCATGAATCCTTGCATGTATGAACTGGAAACAAGACTTTTTTACTTGCCTTTGTATTTTGGTTATTAGATTCTTACTGTATATATTTGGCGTCCTGGTGTGGCACTACAGGATAAACACTAAACTGCAAGGTCAGTCAAGGTTGACTGTTCAAACTCACAAGCTGCTCCTTGGAAACCATATGTAGGGTAGCTGACAGCACTTAACAGTATTTGTTTTCCAGCAGTGTTGTATAGTTTTCATTGTATAAGCCCTTCGTTTCCTTCGTTAGATTTATTTCTAGATATTTTGTTCTCATAGATGCTATTTTAAATGGAATTGTTTCTCTGATTTCATATTTCTCATTGTGGTGTATAGAAACCCAAATGATTTTTGTTTGTTGATCTTGCACCATGCAACTTTGCTGAATTCTTTTATAAGCTCTAGATTTTTTCTTTGCATTCTTTGTGATTTTTTTTTTTTTTTTGTATGTAGGATCATATCTTCAAATAGAGATAATTTTATTCCTTCCTTTATTTGGATGCCTTCTATTTCTTCTTGTTATCTTACTGCTATGGGTGTGGCTTCTAATACAACAAGTGGTGAGAGTGGCACCCTTGTGTCGTTCCTGATTTCAAGGGGAAAGCGTTCAATTGTTTGGTCTCCATGCAGTGTTATGCTGGCTATAGGGTTTTCCTATATGCCCTGGATCATACTGAGTATTTTCCCTCCTATTCAGTCGTTTTTAGGGTTTTTATCAAGAAAGGGGATTGGATTTTATTAAGTGGTTTTTCTGCATTTGTAGATGATTATGTGGTTCATTTCCTTTGTTCTTTTGTTGCTGTATATTACATTTATTGGTTTTTCTAATGTTGAACAATCCCTGCATTCCTGGAATAAAGTCCACTTAACTTGGTCATGGTATATGGTTCTTAATATGTTGTTGGATTATGTTCACTTAGATTTATAGACTTATAGTTTTCTTTTCTTGTGGTATCTGTTGATTTTTGGTATCAGGGTTATGTTTGCTTCATAAAATAAATTAAGGAGTATTCCTTCCTTCTCTTTCTTATCGTTCTTATGTAAGAGTTTTACCAGTATTGAGGTCAATTCTTTCTTAAATTGGATCGAATTCCCTGATGAAGCTATCTGGCCCAGACCTGATTTTGTTGTTGGTGGTAGGTTTTTCATCACTGACTCCATCGCTTCACTAATTGTAGGTCAGCTGTTCCTTTCTTATTGAATCAGTTTGGGTAGCTTGTATAGTTCTAAGAATTTGTCCATTTCAAATAGGTTATCAAGTTTATTGCCATATAGTTGTTCAAAATATTCTGTCATAATTCTCTTCATTTATATTGGGTCAGTTGTAATGTCCCCTCTTTTATGTCATATTTTGGTTGTTTGCATCCTTTCTTTTGGTTTGTCCTTTTAGGTAAAGGTTAATGCTTATGTTAATTTCTAATCACGTATTTTAAAAATGGTTTTTCTTTTTCAGTTTTTACTCTTGAAGTTATTTAGGAAATGTATAGGAACTAGAATTTAAGAGTAAATATTGGGATTAGTAGATGCTTATGGATAGATAATATTTAAATTTACATGTATTTTATTTTAATTGCAGGAATTGAAAAATTTGATTCCTAAGTCAGCAGTAGGAACGTTATCTGCAAATTCGAGCAATGTAATTCAGCTGATCATTGATGCATACAATGTGAGTACGTTTTAAATTGAGATCGGTTTTGGACAGTACCCTGTTGGGAATACACTGGTCCAAGAAAGTGAAACTCTGTGTACAGTTTTGCACAATTGTTCGTGCACTTTAGAAAAACTGTCATATTATCTTATGAGATCATCATTTGCATGGTTTAAACAAATCAAACATGAAAAAGACAAGTGAGGACAATTTGTAAATATGTTTCTATGTTATAAAGTGGTAACTTCCTTATAAAATGTATGTAAAATATAAATTACATTTAGATTAGAATTTTCTCAATTCTATTTTCTCTTCCTAATCTGTCCTTATTTTGATGAATTGTGCTAGAAAAGCTTTTTTGCCAATTCTTCTCTTGCCATATAGTCAGATGTGAGTCTCTATTTTAAAGAGATATATGGAGATATATGTACACACACATACATATACTATGTTTATTTATACACACATGTATCTTTACATATCTGTGTGTATGCATGTATATACACACATACAAGGTTTCCTAGGAGAAGCTGGTGGGTTTGAACTGCTGAGCTTGTGGTTTGCAATCCAGTGTTGATCCTACAGCACCACACTAGATTCATCCCCACCCCTCACTCCAGTGAGTTGAAATTAAAAAGGGATGTTTTCTCTTTCAAAGTGTCTTTAATGATACTAATTACACATTGGTCAATAGTCCTTTTAAAGATTCTGAAGGTGTTTTGTAATATTACAAAATGATAGTTGTTACATACTGGACATACCATTCCCACCTCCTCCAGTTCTGGCAGGTTGAATTTTAGGTAGTTTTCCACCTTTTACACTGGGAGTCCCAAATTGTCTTAAATGGCTTAACTCCGAGAAAGAGAGACTTTTACAAAGATTTTAAAGATGATAGTTGGTCTGTGTCTTCCCTATAGTTCTTCCTGTCATCAAAATTTTATCCTAAATCCTATGCTTGTAGGGGTGTGAATGTATGAGAGAGTGACACTGTGATCTCCTTTTGTCCTGAGACATCCCATAATCTAAATATGGGAAAATACGGGCGTAATGATTTCCTAAAATCAATTGTCAAGTTGATTTCTACTCATGGCAACTCCATATTTGGCAAAGAAGAGCTGTGCTCCATAGGGTTTCAGTGTCTGGTTTTCAGCAGTAAATCACCAGCTCTTTTTTTGGGTAGCATTGAAATTCCAGCTTTTTTGCGTATTCTTTCAAGTTTGAATTCTTTTCTGCTTTGAGTTTTTTGCCAGTACCATTTGGTATTTTGAATACCAAACCAAAGCCATTCGTTATGAAGTTGATTTTGACGCATAGTGATCTTAAAGAACGGGGTAGAGTTTCTGAGGGGTTCTGAGGCTGACTGTTTACTGGAGCAGACAACCTGTTTCTTCTGTGGAGTGGCTGCTATGTTTGAACCTTTCATGTTGCAGGTAGCAGCTCAATGCTTTTGAGTGAAGTGAAATGAAAGCAAAATTTTTTGAAATTTTGTGGGTGTTGATACAATTAGTGGGGACATAGAGTACTAGTCCTTGGGTGGTGCTGTAGGATAAGCACTGAAGCACAGGGTCATTTGAACCACAATGTTGGTGGTTCATACTCACTTGCTGCTCCATGGGAACCTTATACAGGGTCACTGTCAGGTAGTACCGTCTTAACAGCACTTAGTAACCACAACAGGCAGATTTGTCCCAGACTGTAGAGTAGGTCAGTTGCCCTAGTTCTTAGTTGAAAGAACCTTGATGGCGCACTGTAGGATAAGAACTTGCTAACCAGAAAGTCAGCAGTTCTAATCCACCATCCTGCTCCATGGGAGATAGATAAGGCTGTTTTCTCTTGTAAAAAAAGATTTGTTGTTTTCTTGTTGCTAAGTGCTGTCAAGTTACATTACGCTCATAGTGAACCTGTAGAGAGTTCCCGAGGAGCAGCTGCTGGGTGTGACCTGCCAACCTTGTGGTTCACAGTCTAGTGCTGATCAGGCTTAAAAGCCCTAATAGGGTCACTGTGAGTTGGGATGACTTGAGGGCAGTGGGTTTGACCGTTTGGTTTAAGTTTGGATGGGCCCAGAGTAGAGCCATGTTGCCTACAATGGAAAGAACAGGTTTTTTTAAGTTCTTAGGATTTCCCATAATTCATATCAGGCATCTGTGCTGTTTGATCTGCAATATTTTAGCTCAATAATTAAACCAGAAATACTCTTACTTTTGTGATTGTGTACATTGTTTTTAAGAGTTTTCATCAGAGCCTGGTTTTCTGAGTTTTGTGTTGTAGATTTTACTTGTTAACAGTTCATTTTACCCATTGGCTTTATTTTATACAAGTAACTTATTCTACAGTAGCATTTAGGTTGGATTCACTGTGTATAGGCTTTTTTTTTTTTTTTTTTTTTAGTCCCTTTCCTCAGAAGTCATTTTGGAAAACAGCAAATTGCCAGAAGGAGTAACAATAAATTACAAATCTTACTGTAAAAATGGAGTGAATGGAACAGGGGAGAATGGAAGAAAATGCTCCAATATTTCCATTGGAGATGAGGTATGTTGTGTAAGCATTTTCTGAAGAAAAGAAAAACATCACTGGTTTATATAAGCAGTTCTTGAAATACCTCTTAGTAGATTCACACTTTTAAACTGCTTAGTTAATTCTTAATCTCTTTCTTTTTGTAAGGTTCAATTTGAAATTAGCATAACTGCAAATAAATGTCCAAATAAGGATTCTGAAACCATCAAAATTAAGCCTCTGGGCTTCACTGAAGAAGTAGAAATTATGCTTAAGTTCATCTGTGAATGTGAATGCCAGAGAGAAGGTATTCCTGCAAGTCCAAAGTGCCATGAAGGAAATGGGACGTTTGAGTGTGGAGCTTGCAGGTAAGCGGAGTGTTGATGGAGAGTCCCAGAGGAGAGGTGTGCTAGCTTCAATAAGTATAGGCAGGCTGTATTTCAGTATAGCCAGAGAACAGCTCTCTATTTGTTGTTGTTAATTGCCGTTGAGTCAGTTCCCACTCACAGCCACCCTATATAGGGTTTCTGAGGAGCAGCTGGTGGGTTTGAACTGTCAGCCTTATGGTTCACAGTCCAGTGCGGATTCAACAGCACCACACCAGAAGTCCTCTGTTTGGGAGTACTCAAATTAGTTGTTCTAATGATTAATGCTAATCCCAAAATTAATCTGATGATCTTGCGTAGGATCTTTGTAGAAAGTTCTTCCTTTTTTTTGTTAAAGAGACTGCCGTATATTCTAAAAATGAATGCTTTTATAGCCATGTAGATAGTATGCAAGGGGGTTTCAAGAAGTTTTTGATTCTATTTTTCTACCAACTTTTCGAAACTCCCTCGTATTCTAAAAAAAAAACCAAAAAAACAAGGTAGCATTTGGACAGTTCTGTTCTCTTATATAAGTCTGAATTTTCTAGAGCTAAATAAGTGTATATGAAATATATTAATAGAAGAATGTGTTGGCAAAACATACATCAAAGCTAATAATTGAGATTTTATATTAGAATTAGGAAGCAACAAAGGATTGTTTGCCTTCTATTTTACGTCCTTCTGTTCACACATGCATGGGCTTATTCCACATAACGTGCTGAGACATATTTTTGTGATCATTGAATGGTGGCTGTACACAAGTTTCCTCAGTAATACACTTGTCTAAGTCTCCTTAGGGTGCCTTCAGAAAAAAAAGATCCAGTCAAAACAATGGCTTCTAGCGGGATCTGCTGGATTAGTACAATGCAAAGCAGAGAGGTCAATTCAATGGCGACTGCATTTTGGGCTCAAGAGGGGATAGTCTTGACAGATTTTTTTCAGAGGACACAGGATGATCATGGGGGCTTATTAGGAAGAAGTATTAAGAATATTAAAAACTGCACTGGTGAGAAAAAGGACTGGAAAGTTGTGCTGAGGAATTTTTCCCCATTATGAAGCTGCTCATAGCAAGGACTGTCCTGTGAGCATTTTCCTGGTAAACCTTATGCCATCCCCCCTATATACCTGATCTTTCCCCATCATACTAGCTTTTGTTCTTAAAGCTCACAGGACATTTAAAAGACACACAATTTGAGTCCCTTGAGGAAGCCAAAATTGCCACTTGGACGTGGATGTTGAAGTGTGCAGAATTCTCTGAGGTTGGATTAAAGATGAAATACCTCCTGCAGAAGTATATTGACATAGACTGAGGCTATATCGTTGAATACAGGTTTCCATGATTCTGAAGCAATATGCTTAGATTTATCCATGTAGATTTTATAAAACGTAAATGAAAATGTTTTTACTATACAGGGTCACTATGAGTTTGAAGTGACTCAATGGCACTTAAACAACAACTAAAAGATTTTGTGAAGCCAAAGCCATCTTGTATTCTCTGAATATAGCTTCTTTAGAAGAAAAGGAAGGGAAAGAATATTTTGGTCTAAACTTCAGCCTTAAATCACTAGATTCAGAAGGGTTATGATTCTTGAAAGAAATACGTGGCTCTATACCTGCTCTAAACTTACCGACATAGGTAGGTTCTAAAGATGAGGCTGTTTGAGCATTGATGTATGAAAATGGAGCCTTGGTACCTAGCTAGCAGCCCAGTTACATTGTACATAACTACCAAGCCACTGCGAATCATGGTCCAGCAAGCTGACCCATCACAGCCAGTGCTCTTCTTGCCTCAGACTTCCACATTGCTTACTGCCAGATGTACCATACCTAATGTGCAATAAACTGGATTTTTTTATAGTTATCATAAAGTATTGAATAATATAGTCAATGAGAAATAGGTATTTTCCATGTTAAACATGTAGTATGTTAGCGTCTTAGAGATCCACTTATCTAAATAAACTGTTTTACATTTCTTCTCTACATATTTACCAAAGATAAATTGAAGCAGTGCATCCAGTGAGTGGTTGCATTAAGCACTCCTCAAGTGCTCAGACACTCTCAATGGTGTGCTTGTTACAGGCTTTTTATAATAGTTGATTCACAGTTGAACTATTGCTTTAAATTTAGAGGTACTTCACCTGGCATCTGGAGGTGAAAGTAGCATGTATTAGCATATCATTTGAAAATGTAACTGACCCACTATTTAAAAGTTTGTCCGGTGTTCCCAGCCTATTGCTAGAATATAGCCTCATTTTGATCAAAATGGTTATTTTACATAAGAAATATGTTTGTTTGTTTTCTAAACCCCTGCATGTATATTCTATGAATGAGCCTGTTGTGCGTGTTTGCATGTGTATTTTTTTGTACTGTTTGTGACATGGGTGGCATGAATGTAATAGATGTGTAGTTTGAAGACAGTGTTTGTCTACTAGTCATTCCGATATTAGGCCATGTGCTCATAAATGATCGTTACTTGATGTAAAGTCACATTTTGGGCCTTTCTGTAGGTGCAACGAGGGCCGTGTTGGTAGACATTGTGAATGTAGCACTGATGAAGTTAACAGCGAAGACATGGATGCTTACTGCAGGAAAGAGAACAGCACAGAGATCTGTAGCAACAATGGAGAGTGCGTCTGCGGGCAGTGCGTCTGTAGGAAGAGGGATAATACAAATGAAATCTATTCTGGCAAATTCTGCGAGTGTGATAATTTCAACTGTGATAGATCCAATGGCTTAATTTGTGGAGGTGAGAAAAAAAAGTCGTAAAATGTGGTCCCATCTACATCACTTCTGACACCTGCACGTCATGTGTTATACCTGACTTGGTGGTAGTCGGAATGCAAACTTAGACTATAGGTGAACCATTCAAAGAGACACCCTTGCTATAAAACAAAGTGTTTCATCTAAAACAAGAGTTTGCTTAATGAATAAACAGAAGAAAATAGAAGGGCAGCCATTGTCAGTCAGCCAACCCTAAGATATGACTTTTTTATGTTTGCCACGGTTATGAGAAATTATGTGTTAATTGCAGGAAATGGTGTTTGCAAGTGTCGTGTATGTGAATGCAACCCCAACTATACAGGCAGTGCATGTGACTGTTCTTTGGATACAACTTCATGCATGGCCACAAATGGACAGATCTGCAATGGACGCGGGATCTGTGAGTGTGGCGCCTGTAAGTGTACAGACCCCAAATTTCAAGGGCCAACATGTGAGATGTGTCAGACCTGCCTTGGTGTCTGTGCTGAACATAAGTAAGTAACAGAAATTTTGAAATAACTGATTTTTATTCTCTCTTGAACTGGGTAATATATCACTGAAGCTAAAATAGTACCTATATTGGGTTACGTTGTGACTAAAATGGCTGCTCCTCTGAAACCCACTCTCTTTAATTCTTAGACATTTTTTTCTCACTAGCTATTATTATGTTGCATGTTACGGAGTATGTCTTATGAGAGTTGGAACATTATTTTGATGTGAATTTACTATATAATTGAATTTATATTGTGACCTGTTTAACTGGTATTGTTGCTGTTGTTAAGTACCATGGAGTTGGTTTTGATTCAAAGCGATCCTGCACAGGGTTTCCGAGGCTGTAAATCTTTACAGGAGCAGAAAGCCTCCTCTTTCTCCCACGGAACAGTTGGTAGTTTCGAACTGCTGACCCTGAGGTTAGCAGCCCGATTCATAACCACTACGCTACCAGACAGAGCTCCTTGCTTAATTACTGTTTTGACCGAAGTAAAGAAAAGTTGGAGGTTTCTGCCTTTAGGAATTAATGTTTGTACTGGTGCCAGGCTGTTTTAATTATTTTTATTGAAATTTTCATTTAAACAATAAGTCTAATTTCATTTGAGGAACTAGCATCTTTATATAATTTTTGTATCCAGAATATCTTACACATCTCCATTTATTCTAATTTTCCTAGCTCTTGGTTCAGTTTCATTATAAAGGTCTAGTACCTGCATTAATCTTTGACGTAAATATTTATTTTAATATGTTAAGAACTCGTAAGTCCTTTATAAACACAAATAATTTGTTTTTTAACAGAGAATGTGTTCAGTGCAGAGCCTTCAATAAAGGAGAAAAGAAAGACACATGTTTGCAGGAATGTTCACATTTCAACCTTACCAAGGTGGAAAATCGGGACAAACTGCCCCAGCCAGGCCAGGTTGACCCCCTGTCCCACTGTAAGGAGAAGGACGTGGATGACTGCTGGTTCTATTTCACATACTCAGTGAATGGAAACAATGAGGCCGTTGTTCATGTTGTGGAGACTCCAGGTAGAAAACTGATCATTTCAAACATTCTTTTCATTAACAGAGACATATCAAGTATTGCCACCCAGTCTGTGCCTCTTCCTCTTTTTATCTTCTTAACAGTCTCTCAAAATCATAAGGAGATTTATCAGGTGTTTTCATCTAGATGGTTTATGTTTAGGCCTGTGATCCATTTTGAGTTAATCTTTGTACCAGGGACTTCAAAACGTTCATTAAAAATGGAATTTTTCCCACAAACCTTTTGAAGTCCTCTCATACAGGATGTGAAGTATGGGGGATGTGAAGTATGGGTTGAGGTTCCTTTTGTCTTATCTTTTCACATATGAAAGTGCTTGAATCATGTCTGAAGAGGATCCTTTCTCTACCTGTGTTGAAACTCAGGTGCCCTGTTACGTGCTTGTGTAGTTTGTTCCATTGGTCCAAATATGTGTCTGTAGCCCTGCCACATTGTCCTGATTGCTCTTGTGTTATAGGAAGTCCTGAAATAAGGAAATGTGAATACTCTAATTTCACTCTTTTTTCAAAAATGTGTCAATTCCTACAGAACTTAAGATTTTGCTTGAAATTCCGTTCATTAACTTTTTAAATGCCAATCTTGCACATATTTTGTTAGTTTTAATTTTTTTTTGACTTTTGATGCTGTTGTAACAGCTACTATTTGAAAAATGTCTAGTATATAGAACTAGTTGATTTTTGTGTATTGACCTTTTATTCTGTGGCCATGTACTTATTTTAGTAGTTTAGTTATTTTTTTTCAGATATTTCGGTCCCATCTAGATTTCACATAGCTTTGGTTTGTATTCTGTAGGTTGCCTGGGGTTGTGGTGCTACTTCTCCCATATATATTCTTTCATTTATACGAGTCCCCATGTACTTACTGGTTCTCTGTATTCTCCAGAGTGTCCCACTGGTCCAGACATAATTCCAATTGTCGCTGGTGTGGTTGCTGGAATTGTTCTCATTGGCCTTGCATTGTTGCTGATTTGGAAGCTTTTAATGATAATTCATGACAGGAGGGAATTTGCTAAATTTGAAAAGGAGAAAATGAACGCCAAATGGGACACGGTAAGTTGTAAAACATCTAAAAAATAAGGTGGTTTATAAAGTAAATGTATTTAGTGATTCTAAAATGAATTTATTAAATGTCATATTTAGTAATTAAAACTGATTTATTTGTTCCCCCCAGAGTTTAATATTTAAATAACTTACAATTAGAGCACTGTAAAGGATCGGGAGGAATCTTTCTGGGACAGGCTTGGTGGTGGAACATTCATACATTTCAAAACTTATTGAACTCAGTTTACTCTACAAAAATTATTTCTCAATAAAGTAGACTTTGAAAAAATATTTAAGCTAGCCTTAATTGAGCTTGCACGGTGTGCTACCTTAAATAGCCTGTGAAATATGATGTTAGAAGGTAAGGTAGCCACATTTTTGGCTCTCATCCTGGTGTTGAAAGCAGCCATGAGCATATTCTATCATGAATGATTCTAAATAAATAGTTTCAGAAAAACCTCTTTCTTAGAGTGTTTAGTCACTATAATTGACAATTTTTTTTCTGATGAAATCATTAGAAACTATTTCTTTTACTTTAGCAAGAAAATCCGATTTACAGGAGTCCTATTAATAATTTCAAGAATCCAAAGTATGGACGTAAAGCTGGTCTCTAAACCGCCGTTCGTATTTTCTTTCACTTTGTCTTTGCATGTGAACTTTTAATCTTTTTATTGCACCGTGTGCCCTTATCACTGTTGCTGCTTTTAAAAAACCTGGCTTTATTTATTTGGCAATATTGTAGCTTTTCTTTTGTGTGTTTACACGGTATTTAAACTTAAGTTCTGTAGTGTAGAAGCAAGCAGCTCAGGTTTAGTGCTAGAGAATGACTGTGGAGGTCAGAGAGACCCAAGACCCAGCCTGAGGTCACATGACGTCTACAACATGGTGTTGCTACCTTTCTATGAGTATTGTGTGGGCCAGTGAACTACATACAATGACATTAGGCAGCTGTAACCCTCACAGTCTTAACTCTGCTTTAGATGCCATTAGCAGTTGTACAATTTACAACTGTTAAGAGTTTAGAAAAATTGGGGAATTCCCATAGTTTTGTATTATAATTTGAAATTCAATTAAGAGCCAGATATACCTTATTTCAAAACAAAAAAAGTTTGTGTGGTGCTGTGGGTTAATGCGCTGGACTGGAAGGTTGGCCGAGGAATCGCTATATGAGTTGGAAGCAACTTGAAGCACTTAACACCACCACCAGCAAGTAGGCTGTTATTTTGACTTGCACCAAAATTCTTTGATAAAAAACATCAATTGTCTTTACCCTGCTCTTTTCTTTCCAAGCTGATTGGATCTGATTCTCTTATAACAACTCAGTTCTTCAAGTGCTGTCCAGTAAGTTGATTCAAAGCAACTGCCAATCTTGTGATTAATAGTTCAGTACTTAGTTATCCTACAGTGCCACACCAGGACCCCATAGTGATGTTGTTAGTAATAATTACAATAGCAATAATAGCTAAGACATAAATTACACATCTCAGACACAGCTCTAAATACTTCAATATTATTGTTTATCAAGTTGGTTCCGACTTATAGCGGCCCTGTATAGGTTTCCGAGGAGCAGCTGGTGAGTTTGAACTGCCTAACTTGTGGTCTTGTGATTTATCCTACAGCGCCACACCAGGATTGCACTAAATACTTTTCTTCTTTATGTAGTCATAATGTTATGAGTAATGCGCATATGAGAAACCTGTAGCACAGAAAGATTAGGTAAACGTAACGAAGTTCCTACAGCTAGTTTATACAAGTGCTGAGATTCAAAACCAGCCTCCAGCGCCCATGTTCTCAGAGTGCGTTTTCTTTTCCACTACATTGTTTGTATAGCAATCACGTACCCTCAAGAGACTCCCTGTTGCCTAGTTCGTAAGAGGTAGATCATCCTCTATAGAGTTGTGACTTTTTGGCATTTGCTGAAACTTGGTGAGAGGAACGCTACTGTTATGAGCAAACATTGTCTTGGGGAAATTAGTACATAGAGCCCAGTGCTACAGTCAAGCTGATTTGTACTCTCTTGGGAATATGCATGAGCTTCTTGTTTAATTATAAAAGGATAAATGAACAATAACCTAACATAAAGGTACATTTAATAATTTAAAAGCATTATTGGAAGTACTGATAATACTTGAAACTGCTCAGATACCAGTCATGACTGGTAATGTTTTCTTTTTGTTTCTGAGCAGATGGAGAGGTTTTTAGACACCAGAGTTAAATTTGATGGCAGAAAGCACTAGATGAATTTATATATGGGCAGATTGGCACATTTTTACATTTTTATATTAATTTGAGACTTGGCACACAGTCTTCTGTTTCTCACCTACAAGTCATTTTTAGGGGAAAACTGGTTAAGAAAAACTTCAACGTTTTTAAGTATGCTGATGAACGGTGAAAGGTCTGCTCTTCCCTGTACCTTTAATTGTACTTTGAAGGCAATTGTTTATAATTTTTCTTGGGAAAACTAACAGTCTAATCATTGAGAAATTAAAACTTAAATTCATGAAACTGTAAAGCATTTTTCTGATAATTATTAACGTATAACCCTTAAAAGGAAGATGCAAAAAAAACCAGTGTAATCTATTCCTACAATGGTGCATTTTATACATAATGCCTCAAAAGATGATCCCACAGTCATCTCTGTTAACTTTATATTCACTCTAGACTGGGCTGACATTGTGCTGAGTACAAAGACCTCCATTTCAGAATATAACTTTTGATTTAAATAAGCTCTGTGCTTTGTTGGGCTGACTGAGGGGGTTTGCACTGTGAACGATGGAAACTAATCTGAATTATTTTAGTTTTCTTTCATTAAAAATTATGCCTCATGCAGATAGTGAGTTCAGTTTTACCTCTAACCTTGCATGTTAAACTTTGGTTTGGATTGACATTGAAATAATATGTTTGCATATATTAAAAGCCAAAGCTTTCTCCTAAGGTAAGTTCTCCAATATAAATTGTTCTTTGGACTTACCAGTAAAACATAGGGAGTTTTCTTTTGTTTGTACCCACTTTGCAATTCTAAAAAGTATTCTTATATTGTCATTAAGTGCTGTCAAGTCGGTTTCAACTCATAACAGCCCAGTATAGGATTTCTGAGGAGTGGCTGGTGAGTTTAAACTACTGACCTTGCATAGAATCTAAACAGTAATTATTTGCTAAACATGTTTGAAAGAATGGGATGTTATATATAATAGGATATTATACCTTCATAGGCAGATAAACCAAACTAAATCCATTACTATCAAGTCAATGCCTACTTATAGTAACCATAGAGGAGAATTGCCCCATAGAGTTTCTGAGGCTGTAATCTTTCTCCTGTGGACAACTCTTGGGTTTGAACTGCTAACCTATTGTTGTTAAATACTGTCATATGGGTTCCAACTCATAGGACCATGTATAGGGTTTCTGAGGAATGTCTAGCGGGTTTAAACTGTCAACTTTGAGGTTAACTAACAGTCTAGTGCTTATCCTACAGCACCACAGCAGGACTCCCTTATACAGATAGAATGGAACTAAAGAGCTGTAACTTACTTCTGCTGTATCATTTCTTAAGGATGTAATTGCCAATACCTCATTTCCTCATTCACAGTCTGAAATGTCTGCTGTAATGTCTACTTTGACTTCTCACTTATCGACTACCTCATTATGTACAACAACAATAAGACTCTCTCTTTGTGCTTAACAGTGTCCATCTGCAGTAACTAATGCCTAGGTGCAACATAACAAAGTCAGGCTCCTTATGATGATTGAGGTTATACGTTAATTTGGCTGGACCATTATGTTCAGTGGTTTGATAGTTA